TTTCTTAGGTAAATGACCAGCTTCCTATGCATCTATGAAAATCACACATATGCGTAAGAAGACTCAAAGCAGTAACTCAAAAGTTGATAAATCTAAATAAATTGGTATTGAAAAATCTCACAATGCTCTCAAAATATTCATAAAATAATATTACATGTGACAAAGAGGTAAAATCAAAACGTGAGAGGAAGGGATCAGTTTTTTCTTTGCTTGATTATAATACATTGTCAATATCTATCATCCTCAGTTCAATAACCTCAAATTGATTTACATATTCAACAAAACCTCACTAAAAATTTTATCAGACTTTTTTAGAAATTTACATGGTGAATTTAAGTGAAATAGAAGCTGAAACATACAAAACAATATTGAAAAAGATAAACACAGTTGAAAACCTAATTTCAGGATTTATAAGCTACAGTAATTAAGACAGTGTGGTATTGGCATAAAGACAGACATATAAGTCAATAGAACAGAATAAATACTTTAGAAATAGACTCTAATATATAGGGCCAATTGATTTTCAATTTAAGTGCCAAGAAAATTTAATGATGAAAGATTTTTTTCAATAAATGGTGCTAAAATACATGTATATCCTCCTGCAAAAAAAATAAATAAATAAACCTCAAAAATTTCCTCACACCATAAACAGAAATTAATTCAAAATGGAAAAAGGAAATATGTTGGTGAATATAAGTGGATAATGATTATTTCAAAAACAAAATAATAATATCTTGCTGATTTTTAAATATATGTAGAAGTAAAATACTAGACAAAAATAAAATACAACAAGAGTAAATATTGTTAAGGTATTCTAAGTTTATGTCATTGAAAAAGTGGTAAAGTAATGATCAACAATGCAGGGTATAGTTTTTAAGTAACCAACTAAATAACACTAAAATAATTTAAAATTCTTAGTTAAATAGTGGAGAAAATGAAATAATTAAAAAATATTTGACAAATCCAAAAAAGGCAAGAAAAGAGAGAAGTAAAATAAAACAAATGGGTCATATAAAAAAGAATATGTATATCAGTCATTGGATTAAATGCATTAAAAGCTAGTGTCAGCCCACTGGATTAAAATAATAAAAATCTATATTCTGGTTACTAGTGACATGTTATTAACTATAAAAACACAGAAAGGTTGAAAGTAAAAAAAGAGTTATTTACCACTCTTCCCCACCCCTACCCACCAAAAAAACATTAAGCAAAAGAAAGCTCATATGGTTAAATTAATGACAGACAAAACAGACTTCAAGGCAAGAAACACTACTAGAGGTAAAGAAGGACATTTCTTAATGATAGTCTACCAGGAAGATACAATACCAATAAGATAATATATTTAGATAATCCACCAGGATGATATAATAATTCTAAATTTGTGTGTACTAATAATATATTTTAAAAATATATAAAGCAAAAGTATATAAAGCAAAAAAAAAAAAAAAGCAAATACACAGCCATAGCCATACATACTAACTAAACTCTCTCAATAGCTTAGAACAGCAGACATACAAATAAAAAATATATATATATATAAATGGTCTAAACAACACAATTGATAAATGTGACCTAATTGGCACTCAACAATTTTAGAATGCACATTCTTGTGAGTGCCCATGGATCATTTATAAAAGTAGACCATAGGCTTAACATAATGCAAGTCTCAATTAACTTATAAAGACTGAAATTATTCAGGGTATACTTTTTGACGCAGTGGAATTAGACTAGAAATCAATTAAAAATTATAACTAGAAAATTGTCAACAGTTTGGAAATAAATACATTCGAATGAATTCAATTATAAAATCATTCTCATTCACAATTTATTAAATTTTCTATGGTGAATAAAGAGGGATGAGTTTATAGAGAGTGATTCAGAAGTTTCTAGAATCTCTGTCAGTTTTAACTATACCATTACTAGTAACCCAGACATCTTCATGAGAGTATTGCTTCAACATTTAACACATATTTACTGAGAATCTTCCAGGTGTCAGGCACTGTTCTAGCTGTTAAAAAGACAAAGTCTCCATAATTAGTGAATTTATGTTCAAACACTTTAGATGATTTGATAGTTTCAGTGCTATGAGAGAAAAATAAAACAATATTAGGAAAGAGTAACTGTGGAAGGGAAGGGATGCTACTTCAAATAGATCTGTCAGGGAAGGCCTTTCAGAGGTGATGAGTCTTCAGTATTAAGGAGACCTTGCCATAATATATAAGTAAATTACTTTCTACATGGAGGAATCAGGAATGTGCAGATAGACTCTGGGCATGTCTAGGGATTGTGTGACCAGAACAGTAAATGAGGTATAAAAGATTAGATAAGAGAGCAAGGCAGAACAAGGTCAAACATGGTCTTGTAGGTTAGAATACGCTGAATTTACTAGAGATATTAAAGGAGAAAAAAGATTTATAGTTTAAAAATGATTACTCAGATATTTGGAGTTTTCTGTAATAAAGCATGACAACTAGTTAGGAATCTATTGCTGTATTTCATGGAAAGATAATGGAAATTGTGTGGTGTGATGCACTTGTATATATCAGGCCCATATGTAGTATGTCAGCATACTTGATATAAAGAAAAATCATTGATAACATCTCATCTATGAAAAAGCCAATATTTTCTGTGGCTATAAAAACTAAACTTTTTATGTGCTGTTGTTTGAGAGTTTCCATCGGTTTGTCCTATAAGATATATTCAATATTGACAAATTATGTACATATATAATACACAAATATTGAGAAATTTTTGCTCCAGCATGATTTTTTAAGACAGATACAAATACATAGATATTCAAAAAGAGAAATAAGCAACATTATCAAGTAACCAAAGACAAGAAAGACATTTTTAAATAGGAGCTATAACTGCATATTATTTGGCAACTATCAATTATAGCAGGTGAATCCATAACACAGAATTGCAAGAAAAGCTTGTTTCTTTCTTAAACACTTTTAAAGAAAATTCGAATGGTCCAACAGCAGAGTTACTACCACATACAAAGCTGGAGAAAGCCTGTTAAGCTACATAGTAAAGGCTGATATTTGTATAGAAGGTAATATCAGTACTGAAATTTTCAAATTAAAAGTTATTTTCTCATTAAAAAATGAGAGAAAACAAAGGAGAGAAAATAAAAGTTATTTTAGAAGGCAGAATTAACAGCTACTAATTTGAGAACTCTTATTTTTTTTTTAGAGATACTAACATAGAAATAGCAACAAATGCAAAAGAATGAATGAAAAGTTTAATTGTGCTTGTCTGATAACTTTACAATGAATTCTAATGATTTTGAAAGTAAAGTTTTTCCCAAATTTGACAAGATCGATGTGTTCATTTCTGTGATCAGACTCATCTGCAGGTAAGAAATAGCCATGTAATGGAATAGGTGTTTAGAATTACATCAGTGACTGTAAACATTATTGTTAGACAAGAAAGTAGGTTTTCTAAATTTTAGCAGTGTCCATAGTATAAAAATAAATTGATAAAAGAATCAAATAACAGTGATCATTTACCTGAAGTCTAACCCCCAGAGGCATCTAAGCAACTAAATACTGTTAACAAAAATTTGTATTACCTTTTTAACTAAAAAAAAGATTTGTTTTATTTTAGTAAAAATTGAAGAATAAATTTCCATAGCGCAGAATATATGGGGAAATTGTGATCCTGTTAACTTGCAGAGAACAGTTGATGCCATGGTGGCCTGAGTGAAGACAAAATCAAAACAGATTTCAACAGTGTCATGGTAGATTTATTAGTAACACATGTGAAATGATGATTTCCAGAGATTTATATTTCGGCAAGTCACAGCTGTTCTACACCCTTAGTAGCAATATATAGAAATATATTTATATTTATATGTGTATATTTATGATATGTGCAGATGTTTTTGCAGAATCACTACATCTTTTCACAGTTAATATCTAAACATTGGCAATTATATTAATTTGAAATTGGCCAGGCCTTAGACATTACAAATAAATGGTGTACTATGTAAGGAAATATATTTAATGGTAAAAAATGGGATGCTGAAAAAATTTACAAACCTTATGCTATTAGAGTTGAGATATAAAACTTGTAATAATCTTTAAAATTTGAAGTATAATATTTATAATACTTAACATTTAGTTGTATTTTCCCTAATTATGAACTTAGGATGTCTCAAAACTTATACGATGTAATCAAATCTCTATTTTTCTTGTTGCTTATATCATATTTTTTTTGAATTATTATTCTTGGCCAAAAATTACTTTCAACATTTCCAAATACATTTTTTTAATTTAAAACTTTTCCTATATTAATTAGGTTTGCACTCCTTTCTAGTCATCAAAAAAAAAATAAGTAGCATTCAAATAGTTCTATAAACTTCAATGTCTTCTTCAAGAATTAATTTTTCACTCTCAACATATTACAGAAAAATATTTGATATTAAATTCACTGTATGTAAAATTTATTCAATTTTTCTTTTTAATAAATAAGTTTTAATGACTAATTAGCTATTTTAGTTTTCACATAATTAAGACTCTATTCTTAAACTAGTTGAAACCAAAATGAATAAAGAAAATTAGATTTTTTCCAAAACCAAAGCCAAATAAATTCCAAGTAGATTTCTTCATTTCTGTAAAACTTATTTATCATTTCAAATGGAGAAATCAAAGTCTCTTCTTTTAAGTAATATTTTTCACACAAAAAAGGCAGTCAGCAAATGTATAATTCTGTACTTTTTAGTGAAACCTAAGTAAATCTATGAACAAAGAAATATAAATTAGAATACATTAATTTAAATATTTTTCCAATAGTTAACATTTGAAATATAACTACCACATACAACATAAACAAATTGTCCTTTATTATTTGAGTCTTCTGATAGTTCAAATATACTGTTTTTTAAAATGCCAGGTCTGGATAAACTACCTTTTCAAATAGACATAATACTGCATACTGTTTGAATTAGGAAAGCATCCTTGCAGAGCAGGGTGGAAATACTATACCTTAATTCATACCTGGGTAAAGAAGGGCTCATATATCTCTACTCCCTTATCGGATCCTTGTAGTAACACCTCCTGGCCACGTCTCCAGCTGTACCGAACAGGTGGATTGGAATTGGCAACACACCTGAGGAATACTGTTCTCTCATAGTAAAATTGTTCTTTAGCTTCCCCTATACTTTGATGAACAGTTACTACCGGATCATCCAAATCTAGAAAAAATAAAAACAACCAAGTGACAATGTTATGAGTTACATAGCTTTAAAAGCATTGAAGATATAAAACCTAACCAAAGGTACGTTTTCTTAATTGATTTTATTGCTTATCGCTATACTCGTTTTTTTTTTTTTTTTCATCGAGGTTACTGAACTCACTTGCAGAGAAATTTCCGATAGGAGGTAAAGACACAAGTAATAGTATTTATTAAGATCTCTATCTGTCAAGATAGTATAAATAACCTTGCATATTTACAACTCTTTGCCAACAGCCCCATGAAAAAAAGCTCCAAGAGATTTCAGAATTCAAAATTCTCAAATTCAAGAGATTAGCCAAAACAATGAACTGTAGTGACAGAGAAATAAATATCAAGAAGTTCAACTGACTCTCCCTTAATATACTTCTTTTTCCAATTATTTATAACTGACATATTAAAAATAATCAAAGAATTACATTTACAAATGATTATAATTTTTATAGCTAGAAAATATGATCTTGTACCGGGTTAAATTTTTCCTTCATCTCAGATTTTATATCTCAGATCATATTTGCTAATTTGAAATGTGCTAAAAGAAGGTATTGTTAAAAAGCATTAATATTTTTATTACTGAATATTATAACTAAATTTTTCCTATTTTAGATGCATCCTAAATAAGGGATATGTACTACAGGGTTTAGCAAACATTTTCTGGGAAAACCAATTCATAAATATGTTGGACTTTATGGGTCATATAGTTTTGTCTTAATGACTGAACTCTATCATTGCAATATGAAAATAGCCAGAAACAATAGGTAAAGGAATGATCAATGAATGTTGCTTAATTCCAATGAAACTTTACCTACAAATTTAGATCCTGCAGCCAAATTTGACTCAGGGGCCATAGTCTGCCATAGATTGCCAACCCCTGATATACCAGATCTCAGATTCTTTTCTTAGACAAAATAAAGAAGCGTACTTGCTTTAAGACGACTGTATTGTATATTTGAAACTTGCTAAGAGAGTAAACCTTAAAGGTTCTCATCACAAGAAAAATAAATTATAACTATGTGTGGTAATGTATGTTAATTAGACTTATTGTGGTGGCCATTTCACAACACATACAAATATTGAATCATTACATTGTACACCTAATTATATCTCATTTGTTGTATGTCAATTATATCTCATTTTTTTTTAAATGGGAGAAAAACAAGCTCTTGGTTCCATGTGCTAGTAAACACTTATTAGATACTTATTAACGGTGATGTCAGACATTTGCTATATTTAAATACTAATTTCACTGAGCTTTATTTCTTTAGCTTTACAAGTCTAAAAGGTCACAACCTTTGTGGTCTTAAATTTCCTTATCAATAAAAAGGGAATAATAATGGTACTATACTAATAGGGCTGTTGGAGGAATAAATGAGATTGTTCATAAATCCCTGGCACAAAGTAAATGCTCAATGAAAATGAGTTACTATTGTTAGTAGTAGTAGTAGGATCGAGGTTTCATTTAGACTCCCATTAATTCTATGTTGTTTTCTTACCTTTATCTTATCGAATTCATAATGAACTCAGCTTTCATAGATAAAAACATCACTTTTCCACTTGTTCCAGCTATCAAATATTTGTACATGATAAAGACTTTTATGTGAAGCCTGAAAATAAGCTACCATATTTATAGAAACATAAGAACAGTGAGGTGTGTGAGCATATGCTACCCTTAATATTTAAAAGACACTATTCCTTAGAAAAGATTGTTTTTGATATGTTAAAAAAATTAAAAGCTATCAAAATAGTGGAGTAATAGCTGCCCTGGGGAATCAAAGTAAAAAACAGAAAGTCTCAAATTTCCCCAGTTTAAAAAAAAAGGTTTTTTTCTTAATGTGAATTGCTTGACAGCCTTACTTAGATTTCTAGTTTTGCAACATTTTGAGTTTTTTTTTTCCAACATTAGAATCTTTTCACAGCTACCTCAAAGGCCTCTAATTTTAGTAGTGTAAATTTACAGAACAACTGCTGCCTTTTGATAAAGTTTAAAAAACTTTCAGTAAAAATTCACTCTATTAGCTGTGCACTGATATATGGTTTCCTTTTAATAAGTTGTAGTAGTTATGAATACAAGTATCATTATCATGAAATGCTCAAAGGCTTTTAAACTATATCAAATGTTGTCTTATTTGGTGATTATTCCTTCACATATAAATCAAATCCCATAAGAGCTTGATTAGCTGAATTCCGCTTAGTGACTTGAAAAAAAAAAAGGTAAGCAACTTACATTGTGATCAATTGTAGACAGTTTTTTTGTTTTTTTGTTTTTTTGTTTTTTTGTTTTGGTCATAGTCTTTTTAGAAAATATGAGCTTTGTTATGTTGTAAAAACAAAATTCTGAACCCAGAAAATCTAGGAACAAAACATAATTGAATGGTAAACAGTATAACAATGGTAGCTCTCCCTGGGTTCTGCATAGTTAATAATATTATACTTTCCAAGATTCATTTGTTGATGTAGCCCTAGCTCTTTTCTTGTTAGGTGGTGGTGTCGATGGGCTCAGTCAGGAATAGACTGAACCTGAAGAACCATTCAAGCATGCTCTTACCTGAACTAGATGAATTTTGGGTCACTGGCCTTCTGAAAATCTAATCTTGTGACAATCAATATCTTACTGAACATTGTATTGGCAGAATTATGTCTTGGATTCACTTATGTTTAAAAATTTCTACTTCATAAAACACCTAAATGATTTTTTTATATTTAAAAACAAACATGCTAAAAACTAGATTTCTTTTAGACAAGTAAAATAATCGCATAGCTAAAAAATATATTTCAAGTGAGATTTGCATACATATATACTTATAATATATAGTTTAACATATGTAATATATGTTTAACATATACTCTAAACATTACTGAATGCATATTGAATACGTGTATTTGCCTTCAGTCAGGTTTCTTGGAAAAAGGACTGTAAGACAGAGATATCTGTGCGGGAAGTATACAGGCATATCTCAGAAACATAGCATGGTCGGTTCCAGTACACCACAATATAGTGAATATCACAATAAAGCGAGTCATGACAACCTTCTTTTGGGTTTTCCAGGATGTATAAAAGTTATGTTTACACTATATTGTAGTCTATTATGTGTGCAATAGCATTAATTCTAAAAAAAAATGTACAGAACTTAATTAAAAAGTACTTTATTACTAAAAAATGCTAACCATCATCTGAGCGTTCAGTGAGTCATTTCTTTTGCTGGCAGAGGGTGTTACACCAATGTTGATGGCTGCTGACTAATCAAGGTGGTGGTTGCTGCAGGTTGGGGTGACTGTGGTAATTTCTTAAAGTAAGACAATGAAGTTTGCCTCATTGATTGACTGTTCTTTTCATGAATGAAATTTCTCTCTATCATGCAATGCTGCTTGGTAGCATTTTACCCACCGTAGAACTTCTTTCAAAATTGGAACCAATGCTCTCAAACCCTGCCACCGCTTTATCAACTGATTTTATATAATATTCTAAATCCTTTGTTGTCATTTCAACCCAATGACAACATCACAGCATCTTCGTCAGGAGTAGATTTTATGAAAACAACATGAATCTCATTGTACATGGACATCAAAGCTCCTGGATGACCAGGTACATTTTCAATGAACAGTAATATTTTGAAAGCAATCTTTTTTTCTGAGCAGTAAGTTTCAACAGTAGGTTTAAAATATTCAGTAAATCATATTGTAAACAGATGTGCTGTCATCCAGTCTTCGTTGTCCCATTTATAGAGCACAGTCAGAGTAGATTTAGCATAATTCTTAAAGGCCCTAGGATTTTTGAAATGTCAGATAAGCATTGTCTCCAGCTTAAAGTCACCAGCTGCATTAGCCCCTAAGAAGATAGTCAGACTGTTCTTTGAAGCTTTAAAGACAGGCTTTGACTTTATTTCTTTAGTTATGGAAGTCCCATACGGCATCTGTTTTGTCTACATTTAAAATCTCTTGTTTAGTGAAGCCACCTTCATTATCTTCGCTAGATTTTCTGGATAACTTGCTGCAGCTTCTAATCAGCACTTGCTTCCCCTTGCACTTTCATGTTATGAAGATGATTTCTTTCTTTAAACATCATGAATGAACTTCTGCTCTCTTCAAATTTTTCTTGTACTGCTTCCTCACCCTCTCAGCCCTCATAGAATTGAAGAGAGTTAGGGCCTTGCTCCGGATTAGGCTTTGGCCTAAGAGAATGTTGCAGCTTCTATCTAGACCACTAAAACTTTCCCCATATCAGCAATAAGGTTGTTTTGCTTTCTTATCTTTCTTATGTTCACTGGAGTAGCACTTTTAATTTCCTTTAAGAACTTTTCCTTTGCATTTACAACTTGGCTAACTGTTGCAAGATGCCTAGCTTTCAGCCTATTTCCAGTTTTGTCATGCCTTCCTCAATAAATGTAATAATTTCTAACTTTTAATTGAAAACGAGAGACATGCAACTCTTCCTTTCACATGAACACTTAGAGGACATTTTAGGGTTATTAATTGGCCTTTATTTTAATATTTCTGTATCTCAGGGAATAGGGAGGCCCAAAAAGAAGGAGAGATACAGCGGAATGGCAGTTCAGTGGAGCAGTCAGAACACACATTTATCAGTTAAGTTTGCTGTCTTATATGGGCCTTGTTCATGGCACCTCAAAAACAATTACAATAAAATGAAGCACAATAAAACAAGGCATTAATTAAAAAGTACCTTCTAGAGCAACATGTGTTGGGTAATGAAGAAATAGGTTTGTTCAGGAGAATTGAACTACAGCGTGATTACAACAAAGGTCTCAGTAGCTCTAGAGAAGTTTTGGAGCTGTGATGTTCCCTCAAAGCTGTCTTGCACTAAGGCAATGGAGCTAAGCCTTTATAACCCATTCCCACCCCATCGACCAGTCATAGTCTGTGTGCTGCTCCACCAGAGTGCACAACTTTGAGAGTGGCAGCTCTTTGGCTTAGGGCAATTTCTAGAGGATTTAGCCGACAGCCAAT